CAGTTAGGGCTAGTGACCCTCCTGAGACTCACAGAACATTTTAGAATCTTAGACCTGAAGATCATGTCACCAGCTTCTTGCCCTCCTGACTCTTACCTGTACCTCAAGACTAGTCTCCCCTAGCCCCCAGCCAGGCTGTGTTGCTTCCCTCTGCGCCTCAGCGCTCGCCACATCAAATGGCAATGATGGTTTTATGCTTGTGTGGCTCCTGTAGCCTGGGAGCATCCTGGCTCACACACAGGGTCTGGTGCATGCTGGATACACGGGACCTCCTGCAGCTGGGGCTCACCAACATCGTGGATGAACTGCTCAATCTTGGCTTGCATGCCCCAGTAGCGGAACTCCACCTTGCACAGCTTGTAGGCACACATGAGGGGCCCTGACTGGGATGCCGTGCGTGCCCAGTCATCAGCCAGCGGTCCTCGGCCTGTCTTAACTGAGCGGTACAGCCGGGGGTCCTCTTCTGCTTTGTACTCGCCTGGGGCCACTGCATCCCTCACGATGTCGATGGTGTCTGAGGGGGTTCCAGCACCACTGAGCACCGCCAGCCCCCTCCAGCCCTCGCCACCCCTTCCCTGCCTTGGGACCAGAGGGCAGCCTTTTGAAGACCGGAAGTCAAGGCCCAGAGAGAGCCTGAAACTTGTCAGAGGCTGCCCATGAGGATTCAGGTGGCCCGAGGGGGTCTCCAGGGTCCCCCTACTGGCTCCAGGCCTCACCCAGGATGCGCTGTCTCCTCTCAGCCCCACTCAGGTTAAAGACGTTCGGCTGCTGTCCCCCATCGGGCAGGTAATAGGTCTCTATTTCAATGGAGAATTTCTCCACGAAGGGGCAGGTGTACCTGGGCAGAGGACAGGGCCAAGGGTCACTATTGCACCTACCAGGGCTGTTTCCCTGTGGCTCCAGGCCCAACCCACCCACTCACCGGGTTCGGGTATAGGGATAAGCGTTCCAGGATTCCTCCTCCACCTGTAGGGCCGCCTTGGGCAGCAGTGCCCGGAACCAGCCTGGGATGTGAGAGCCCACGTGGTACACCTTGTGTGTGTACTGCCCACTGCCGCCGGGCCCATCTGTGTAGGGCCGGTTGGCCAGGATCTCCACGCCACTGCCCTCACCACTCGACTCCTCCCGGCTCTTTTTCTGTAGTCCGGGGCAGAGCAGAATGCGCAGCTCAGGCTCAGCTCCTGGGACCCCCAGCTTGGCCTGGCCCCTCACACAGCTCAGGGGCTCTAGTCCTAGTTTTTCCCACTCTTTGAAACTTGACCCTGGCTCCCTGCAGCTCCTGGGATCAGAATCACAGCTGCTGTCCCGTCCCCCACAGGGTTGAGTGTCTGCTTTATTCTAGGTATTGTTTGGGATTCTATTAATCAGGATCTGGTGATGAACAGAACAAAGACTCCTGCCCTTATAGAACTTATGTTCAAATGGAGGGGACAAACACAGAAAAAAGCAAATCATAAGGTGATAAGTTCTATGGGGAAAAAAAGGCATAGAATAGAGTAAGGGGGATTGAGTTGAAGATTGCAATTTCCACAGATGGTCAGAGAAGGCCTCACGGGAAGGCAACATGATTATGATTTGAACCTGACTTGGAGGAAGGAAGGGAGGGTACTGAGTGGATGTGGGGTGGGTGGAAGTATTCAAGTCCGAGGGGAAGCCAGTGCAAGATCCTGAGGTGACAGCATGCTGCACATACTCCAAGGGGCAGCAAGGAGGCCAAGGTGGGTGGACTGGGAGAATGGAGGAGAGTAAAAGGGACCCCATGTCTCTGAGGACCTGAACCTGGTCCCCCCACTGTGGGACCCCATGATCAGTTCCTGCCATACCCTCTCGTAGTTTGAGAGCACTCAAATCCTGCCCTTTTATAGCTCTGGAGCCCAGACTTGGCTCACTCTGCCCCCTGAGGCTGGATGCCCCCTGAGGCTGGATCCTGGCTCTCATTTCTGCAGACTGTTCCTATACTTCTGGGGGAACACTTCTGCAAAAGGCCTCCCTGAGGGCTGGTACCAACCCTCCCTGAGAGCTTGCCCCGGCCCATTTTTCTCACAGCCCAAGCTCAGACCCCTACCCCCTTCCTCTTAGCCCAGACCTCCTCCCTTATCCTCTGGGGTCTCTGCCTGCCCCTCTATGTCACAGTTTCCGTGCCTGATCCTCATCCCGTCTTCCTGACCTGAGCTTGCCAGGATCCTGCACCCTTTGGGGACCACCTACGACCCCTCCTCACTTCCTGCCTCTCACTCTAGCCTCCTCATGCATTCCGTTCCCTACCCCCATGGGATTACATATTCGAAGGAAGATTAACGGAGATCAGACATGGGCTGAGCACCCAGCATGGGCTGGGCACTTGGGGGGTGGGGAGGCACGGCTATGCCTTTCTGCCCCTTTTCCCACAGCCCTCCCCCTCTTCCCCCATCCGAAGGGTGACCTCGCTCTCCTCCTCTGGCCTCTGAGCCCTTTCAAGCCCCGGAACAGGAGTAGCCGTGGTTGAGTTGGGCCCAGCCGCTTGCCCCAGGTGGGGCCTGCGTTCTCCTGCCCTTACCCCATCATGAAGTATGGCCCCCATTGGTCTCCCGCTTCCCACTGCTCTCACCTGTATCATGTAGAGCTGGGCCACCTGGTACTCATCCAGGCTCATGGGCAGCAGAATGTGGTACTCCTTGATGAGCATCCTGAAAGCGTTCGGCCGGCCGCGCTCGGCCTCCGCTCCGCCTGGCGCAGGGCACGGCACCGCCGTCAGTGCGGGGCGGCGGCGCGCAGCCCCGAGCCCTGTGCGCAGGCCAAGGGGCTCGGGCCACAGGACCCCATGCCCGGGCCCTCCACCAGGGAGGCAGAGGCGAACCCAGCGCCGCCGCCAGTGCCGCCGGGGGCCAGGAGCCGCAGCGAGGCTGAACGCTGACCTCTTTTCCGCGCAGCCCCCGTCCCCCACCCGCCCGTCGCCATGGCAACCACGCGCTGACGCGGGCCCCCCGGAGCGGCAGCGCGAGCCGGCCAGCCTCGCCTTTCCCTCCGCGTCCTAAGCCCCCTCGAAACAGCATCCCCCCGGGACCCGCCCCCCGGACCCCTCCTTCCGGTCCTGCCTTCCACAGTCGGCCCCTCAGGGCCACTCGCTACGATCCCTTTCCCAGAGTTGGTGGGGTCCCGTGTCCCCCTACTCCCTGCGTCTACTTAAAACCTTGTCCCCCAGGGTGTCTCTCCTAGGAGCAGCCCGGTGCGCCCCTCCTCTTAGCATCTGTCAGTGTTCCCCACACCCCAGCACCTGAACCTTCTTTCTAAGACCAGGTAAAGAACCCCTCCACCCGCCAGACCCGCCTTCCCCACCCTGGCCGGCAGCCCAGTGCTCGACTCCCGCCTCCCCATCATCCTTCCTGAACCCCCGGCACTTGTCTATGCAGCCACCCCATAGTCCTTCCTAGGGGTTGACCCCCTCTTCGGGCTAAGGCAAGAGTGGCTCCACTTGGTATCCCACGGGCCCCGGCCCTGAGAGACCCGCTCAGTCCACCCGCGCCCCGGTTCCGTTGCAGGCACCCATCCTACCCCACCACCTCGCACCCAGCGAGCAGGCGAGAGGCCCCATTGTCCCCACTTCCCTCTGCTCCCCGGCGTCCCCGTCCCCCGCCGTGCTCTTGGGCTGTCCGCCGACGTCCCCGCTCACCTCTAGTTTAGGGCGGGCGCCCCTCACTGGGTACAGGCGGGGGCGGAGGGGCTGCAGGTCGGAGACCGGCGCGCCCCCAACCCCAGCCTCGGATTCCAGCAGTGGCCGGACCCTCTGGAAGCGCAGCGCGGGCCCATGGCCCCGACCTTTCTCCCCGTCCGCCCGCCGGCGCCCTGCCGTCCCTCCCTGCCTCCCGTCGCGTCACTGCGGCCGCCCCGCCCCCTTCCTGGGCTCGGCGGGCCCTCCCCACCCCTGCAGGGTCCGGGCAGCCCCGCCCGCGGCGGAGGAGGGCGGCCCCTGCCTTCCTTCCCCAAGGCAGCAGGGGAAGAAGCCGTTCTCCAAATGCCGGCGGCGTTTTACTCCCTCTGTGCTCTGCGGGATCCCCGAAGCACTCTTGGTTTCTGTCTCCACCCTAGCCCAACCTTTCCATGTGCTAGGGAAATATAGCAGGGTCCCAGCCCCATCCTCCCTTAGCCCCTAAAACCTGAGCCAGACCCAGGGTAGGGGACATGCCTCCCCCCATCAAAGTCTGGCCAGAAGCTGGTCTGACTATTCCAGCTCCCCAGACATCTAGGGTTACTCAGCTACACACCCAGGCAGAGGCCCGCAGTCACTCAGGATCCTAGGACTGGCCCCTCAGTGGGGCCCCACCTATACCTTCCGGGTCCACAAGTCTGGCCAACCAGCCAACAGACCGTGGGCAAAGGCTGAGACACCTGAGGGCTGTGATCGTGGGACCACACCCAGTTCACTCAAGGTGCTGGGACAGTGGATGGCAGCACCGAGCTGGGTCTCAACCACGTTGGAAGCCTGCCCTCTCCCCTTGGCTCTGCTTCACAGGTGCTAGGCAGTGCAGGGGGAGGGAAGAGACAGCGCAGACTCCTATCTGCGGAGTCTGAGATCGTGTGTATTCAGCCTCCAGGGCTGATTCACTTTAGAACGTTAGGGCATTAAGGCATGTGAGGGCGTGGCTTAAGTAAACTGGCATTTCCACCCTGCCAAGCATCACTGCTAATCCAGAGGTAGAGCCCTCTAGGCCCAGGCTGGTGACATTGCCCTCCAGCTGTGGAGGAGGCCGAAGCCTTGTGCTGCCCCCTGGTGGCACCATGTGAAGGAGGGCAGGGCTTCAGCTACTGGAGCTCAACTCTTGCCACTACTTACAGCTGGGAAGGCTGAGGGCTGACAGTGGCAGGGTCCCTCCCAAAGTAAACGGACAAGGGCCGGGTGGGGTGGGGTGTGTGTGTAAGGCTGGGCCAGGCTCAGTCCACCTCTCTCCCACCCTCCGAGTCTTCTCTTTCTTCATGGACCACCCAGGCTTAGTAGAAGTACCAGACTCAGAAAGACTAAGAGCTGAGAGAACAACTCCAAATTATCTTTTATTTATACAAAAAGGGCATGTTTAGCAAAAGACACACTGAGAAAAGAGTGGCTATGGCCCAGGACACAAGGCAGGGAGGTGTCAGGCCTTCTGAGGCCCCACTGGGGGAGAAGTGGTCTGGGACAAAGTGGTGAGAAGTCCTGGGTAAGTGCTGAGTGGTGGGGGCCACAGAAAGGAGAAAGTTCCAGTTGGATCAACGCTGTTGGCAGGTCATGGATGGGACTCACAGTGACCTTGCTGCTAACTACTGCAGTTAGTGCTGCCGACTGGAGTGAACCACCCCTGGTTTCTGGAGGGCACCCACCAAGGAACACAGGACAGGAAGTGCAACTCGGGGTAAAGGCCAGGGAGAAGCAGGTGACCTGCAGTGGCCGGAAAAGGTCCAGACTTGGAGGCGGAGGCGCGTCCTGTTACGTGCGGGCGTTCCGCTCTGTTTCTGCCAGGCACTCTCTGACTAGGGCCCGGGCATGGATGATGCCTGGGGTGGGGGTGGGAGTGGGGATGGGGAAGTAACATACAGGGTCACAGCGACCCTCCACAGTCCCACCCCCACCCTCCAGGACAAGACCCCTCCCTCCCTACCCCGTTCCTTTCAGTAAGAGGGACTATAATCTAATGAAGGGCTGGATGAGATGAGAGGTTCGGCTAATCCTCAAATTTGCCCTGTTTAAATACAAATCCCCTGGTCCTTCCCTGGAAGCTGACTCAGGTTCAATTCAATTCAGTACACCTCTGGATAGTGATCCTGGCCCTAGTCTAGGCTTGGCTCCGGTGGCCTCCAGATGTCCTTCCTTCCTGGGGGAACGGGGTGGGATGAGGGGAGTGGGTGAACCTGCTCTCACTCACCTCTCTTAAGGCGCTCCATGGCGCTCTTGCTGCCAGCATAGGTGGGCCGGATCTCTTTGCCCATCTCCTCAATGACAGACAGCAGGTCCGTGTAGGTGCTCTGGGAACCCTGGGCGCCGGGGGGCTTCATTGCCTATGTCGAAAGAGAACAGGGAGGTGAGCTCAGGCCCCGGGGGGCCTCCAGTCCCCAATCATAGGCAATTCCCTAGGTCCCACTCACCTGCACATAGCCCATGGAGGGCGGTCCAAAGTCGTTAAACAGTGGTCTGAAAGGGGCAGCGGCTCCCGGCACCGAGCCCGACGGCGATGGGACACTTCCGGCTGCAACATGCGCGAGTTAAGAGGTCAGCGCGGGACAGGGACGCCGCCTCCCAGCTCTCCAAGCCCCCGACCGGATTCTCCCGATTCCTTCCAAAGAGATGCTTCATTCCAGGCTGCTCAACTTCAGGGACAACCCCCCCCCCCACCCTGCATCCCTCCAAGCCCTTACACGACCACGCCCACTTCACAGGCCAGCAAAGTGAGGCTCAGGGAGGATAGGTGACAGGCCCAGTACTGCAGAACTCAGGCCGTCTTCTCTTCGACACCTCGACCGCCCGGACAGGCGAGCAGGGGTGGAACTGGATCCTCACCTGTAGGAACTGGGGTGCCGGGCCCAGGGGTGCTGGAGCCCGGGGTGCTGCTGGGGGCGGGGGCGATGGGTTTGTAGGACATCCCCAACTCCTGGGTGCGGCGGACACCGGCCGGCCGCTCCTCCGGGGTTGGCTGCCTGGCCACTCAGCCGCGCTCTGATTGGCAGGCGGGCTGCACGCCCCTGGTAAATAGAGCTCAGGCCGGAAGGGCGGGCGGGCACAAACGCTCACTCACTCCCGATTGGTGAGAGAAGATGTCACTCGGGCCTCCTCATTGGCCAAAAACGACCCCAACAGGTCGCAACGGCTGCTGATTGGTCTCCGCCTTCCGGACCTCGCACCTGTCTGCTTCGGATTGGGCGGTGGCCGACGCCCTCCGCAATTGGCGAGTTCGCGGCCAGGGCCCGCGCGCTCTCTATCCGATTAGTCCCAAGGCCCGAGAGGCGGGGCCTCGGAAGCCCGGACCTGGGTCTGGTACGCCGCGGTTTGTGCGGAGGAGGTCTTCACGGGCGCGGGCACCGCCCTCACGCCTCACTCGCGTTGCTTCGCACGTCAGCTCCGCGTCGCAGGGTCTTGGTTCAGCTGGGGCTGCTGTCGCCGCCGCGCAACGCACCTTTTCTCTGCTCCGGATGTCGGAGGACGCTGGGCTTTGACGTTCCGAGCCCTGCGCCCCACCCCGTGCGCTTTTACGTCACCTTTCACCGGTTCAACAACCTGTGCCGGATCTGCGCATGCGCCCTCCTAAAGCCTTCGTTTGTTTCCATGGCAATGGGTTCCTCATCAACGCCACCACCGCACCTCTACCTTCTCAAATTCCTTGGTTCTCCTGTCTACGCTGGCGTTAGGTCCAAGGGCGACTTCAAAGACCCTTCAACCTGCTCCCCCAGCGCCCCACGCTTGTGCCCCATAATGACAGTAGCAGGAAGAGCAAACCTTCGTTAAATACTGCATGCCAGTCCCTGTAGCAAATGGATCATGGACACAGTACCTACCGGAGTCAAACTGACGGTTTAAATCTCACGCCACCCCTACTAGCAATCTCCCCTTCGGCAAATTGCTCACCTCAATATGACTCAGTTTCTCCATCTGTAAAATGGGGATGGTAATAACTGTCATAGGATTGTTGTGTGGATTAAATGAATATTCATAAAGGGTTTATTGTTTCCTTCTCTTCTGTCCCACTCCAGTGTCTCAAAACCTTTCCATTTCTCCACCCAGACACCCTTCCCCCCCCCCCCCCGCCTCAAATCTCATCCCTCACTACCCTCTCCTCCAAACACTAGCCCTTTCTCCCAGGCTACTTCTCCCCAGACTTCTCTGGCCTTGTGTGCCCTTCATGCCCCCCAAGTCTGTAGATTTTTCTCATCCCCAGGTCATTCATTCATTCATTCAACAAACATTTTCTAACTCCATCCTCTATCTCAGGCCTTGTGCTGAACACTGATGCTGATATGGAAATGAATGGCCGTGGCCTCTATCCTCAAGGAACTCCTAGTCTCAAGGGAGACACGGAAGTAAAGGCGCACAGTACAGTAAGAAAATGTGGAGATTGAGAAAGGTGCATTGGGACTTAGAGGAAGGAGCCTGCCTGGTGACATCAAACTGAGTCTTCCCAGAGGAGGTGGAGTTCAATAGGTGAATGGACAAATAAACTGATATGTCAGTACAATGGAGTATTCAGCTATAAAAGGAAGTTACCTATCTAGCCATGAAAGGACACGGATAGGCGTATTGTTACATGAAAGAAGCCAGCCTGAAAAAGCCACATACTGTATGATTCCAATTGTATGACATTCTGGAAAAGGCAAACTTATACAGAAGGTAAACAAATTACTGCTTGCTAGGGTGCTAAGGGGTAGAATTGAATAGATCACGGGTCGGCAAACTGTGGCTCGCGAGCCACATGGGGCTGTTTGGGTACGTACATGTGGCTCTGAAGTAAAATTGAAAATGAAAATAGAACTATCATAGTTTCATTTATAAAATTTTTAAAGGATATTATTCACATAATGGTGATTTCATTTGTTTTATGGCTCTTGAATAATTTTTAAATTGTTGTGAGGGACAGGATTGGCTCTTCCGTCTCAAAAGTTTGCCAACCCCTGGAATAGATGAAGCATAGGAGACTTTATTTTAGGGCAGTGAAACTATTGTGTATGATACTGTAATGGTGAATGCCAGACATTAAGCATTTGTCAAAGAGCAAACTTTAATGTGTGCAAATTAAAAGAAATCATTTAGGCGGTCAGGGATCCCAGGTTGGGATGCACAGTATGACAAAAAAAACCCTAGCTGTGTGACAAATGTATGAAACAGTCTCTCTGAAGGGGTAAGGTAATAAGGTGCTAATCTGGAAATGAGTGGAGTCTGTAAGAATAAAGGCAAAAGGAACTGCACGTAGCATTGTACTCCAGTTTATAAAGTGGTTTTCCATGGGGGTATGGGTTAATAATTGTGAAACCACTACACACGTACACTAGAATTGAAAATTACGTAGATGTAGAATGGATTATTTCTTATTGCTGGAATAAGAAGTTACAGCTAAAACTGGTCCATGTGGTAGTGGATCGAAACTGGAGACATCAGTATGATCTCATGTTTAGCTTAATATAGATACAGTTGGTTACATGCAGAAACATTTATAAATGTGTATATACACAGGTTAATGTACACACACACCTCCTCATTCTATTGGCTGAGGAGGCCTAGCAGCAGCCTAGCATCCAGATCTTGGTTTCTAACACCATTCTCTAATGAAATGAACCAGAGTTCCTTGCAGAAATGGCTGCTTCTAGGACTGGGGCAGGAAATGTACAAGATGATCCTGGAGCATCTTGTAGTGAAGAAAGTAAGAAAACCCTAACAACAGAAACAAAACCCCCACAATGAAGAGGGTATGTCAAAGGGAGACAGGAGTCCGTGAAAGAACCAAAGCTGGGACTATTTGAACAACAAAATAAAATAGTATTGGATTAAAACTAAAGTATAAAATAAATACCTATGAGCCCCTATGGATATAAATATATAATTGATATTGAATAAACAAAAAAGTGGGGAGAAGAAACAAATCTGTACAGAAGAATTCTGAGTAATTTATGTCAACACTCTGTCCTTAAGTGTGGGCTGTGCACAGTGAGTGACCTCCTTCCAAACAGTATAGTACGTAAAAGGAGAAAACAAAAGGAGTAGTTTTATACTATAGAAATCTGATAAACGCTGCCTCAGGCCAGGTGATCAAAACTAACAGCAATAGCGATGTCATGTTGATACGATGGGATGAGAATGTCACCTTACCTCTGTGGTCTTCCTCCCCCAAACCCATAACCCCAGACTAATCATGAAGAAAACATCATACAAATTCCCAAATTAGGAACATTATATGAAGTACCTGAGCAATCCTCCTCAACATTGTCAAGATCATTAAAAAGATAAAAAAAGGAAGGAAGGAAGGAAGGAAGGAAGGAAGAAAGGAAGGAAGAAAAGAAAAGAAAGACTGAGAAACCATCACAGCCAAGAGGAGCCTAAGGAGACCTGATGCCTAATGTAATGCGGTGTCCTGGGTGGCATTCTGGAACAGAAAAAGAACAATCGGGAAAACTGATGAAACCTGCATAAAATGTGGACTTCAGTTAATAATAATGTATCCGTATTAGTTCACGAACCTTGACAAATGTACCATTCTAATGTAAGATGTTAAAACTAGAATGATGGTTAATTTTATATCAACTTGACCAGGGTCACGGGGTTCCCAGACATTTGGTCAAACATGATCTGAATGTGGCTGTGAGGGTGTTTCTGGATGAGGTTAACATCCGTTGAATCAGTGGACTAAGTAAAGCCGATTGCTCTTCCCAATGTGGTGGGCTTCATCCAATCAGTTGAAGACCTGAGTAGAACAAAAAGGCAGAGTAAGTGGAAACTTTGCCTGCCTCATGAGCTGGAACATTTGTGTCCTACTGCCCTCAGGCTGGAACTTACACCATCAACTTGCCTGGTTTTTCAGGCCTTGGGATGAATTGGAGCTACACCACGGGCTCTCCTGGGTCTCCAGCTTGCTGACTGCAGGTCTTGGGATGGCTTGGCCCCCATACTCACCTGAGCCAATTCCTTATAATAAATATCTTCACACACACACACACACACACACACACACACACACACCCTGTTAGTTCTGTTTCTCTGGAGAACCTTGCCTAACACATAGGAGAAGCTGGACGTGGGGTATATGGGAATTTCGTGTACTAGCCTCAAAATAATTCTGTAAACCCAGAACTGTTCTGAAGTATGTGGATGTAACATCCTGATGGTTACCTGGGTGCATACACAGGTAAGAATTCATTGAGCTGGTACACAAGATTTACATGCCTTACTGAATGTATGTTATATTCAAACTGTTTAAAGTAGATTTAAATAGTTTAAATCTACTTCTCTTGGGAAACCAGATCTCGTGACTCTGGCTTGCTCTGACTGGCCACAGCTGGTGAAGCAGGGCGGCAGGTGCCCCTCCTAGGTGAGGAAGGGGTTCTCAGCTCAGCACAGGCTTGGCCTGTTCCCCGTTCTTTTCTGGCCCCGGCCTCTGCTCCAGCTTGTTTTCTATTGGGTCCTTCTGTGCTACCAGCCTTTTTGGGATGGGAGGAGAGCTGTGGTCACTTCTGGTGCCAGCAGACACACTGTAGACGATGAAGACCATCCCAGCAACCCCCTCAACCCCCTAACTGCAGAGCCTGCCAGGCTGGGGACCAGAGGGTGGTGGGAGGCTGACTCTGAGCGGGGTTCTGGTCTTCCCCTGACATATGTTCATCAGTATCCCCCTCCCCTGCCCCTGCAAAGAAGACAGACACCTCAACAGCAATGCCGTCTGTATCAACGGTGGAGGGTTGCGGGAAGGAAGTGGGGCCATGGCTCTCAGCGAAGCTGCAAGCCGGGGGCCTCTCCTCCCCATCCCCAGGCCTGCCAGACTGACTGGCAGGAGAGGTCTCCTAATTGAGGATTAAGGATTAATGGGGATCTTCCAGGAGAGTGGTGCTGAAGCTGCAGCCGGCCCTAGCACCTTAGTGTCCAGGCTCTGGGCTGGGCAGGGCACCGGTGGCTGCATGCCTGCTCTGTCCCAGGGCATCTGTTGGCAGCAGAGATGGTGAGGACCAGACACGGGTCTGGGAGCTCTCACCCCTTCCCGACCAGGAAGTCAGGGCTCCTCAGGCCTCCTGGCAGGGCTCAGCAGCGGCCGGTCAGGCCATGCTCTGTAGACCAGGCCTTTGCTGTCGTTAGAAAAGGCTGAGGCCCATCCTGGGTTCAGTCTGACCCTGAGGCTCCCTCTCTCGTTGGCACTGTGATTTTAGAGTCCCCAGGCCTGAGTGCAAGTCCTACCTCCCCTTCACCCTAATTGTGTGGGACTTTATGCCAGTCCCTTGTCCTCCAGGAATGTTCTGGTGCCAGCCGAAGGAGCTGGGTCAACCTGGGACCATGGGGGATCACGGCCAGTTCCTGAACAGAGTGTCACAAAATGCAAGCAGTGTTTTAGGAAGACTAATCCGGCAGCGTGTGCTGCATGGACTATTGGGGAGAGATGGCAGTAGGGCTGTGTGACCTCTAGCAAGTCACGTAGACTGGGCCTCTCGGTTTCCTCAATCTGGAAAATGGGGCTATGAAGACCAGGGCAGGATTGGAGTGAGGAGACACACCATTCAGGTCCTCCAGGAAGCAGACGCTGAGATGAAGTTATTTAGGAATGCAAGACAGAGAAGGCGAGAAAGCAGGATTGGCAGGAGGGCTTCTGATCTGAGACTGGCCTGACCATGCCTTGGCTAGCATAAGGGGAGTTGAGGCAGCCACCACCCAGGAGAGGAGCCTTGAGTCAAGCAGAAATGTGCACATCCTAGCTTGCATCATGCTTGGTCAGTAGCTGGGGGCTCCGGGAAGAACTAGACGGCAGCCTAGGAGCTGAGGTATATCCTGAAGGGGCCCATAGCCAGAGCCTGACAGCTAACTCACTCCTCCCAGCTGAGAATTAAAGCTGGGAAGAACTAAAGTTCTTTCTCGAAGGGCTCTGAGCAGCACTCCTCCAAGAGTAAATGAAACGGAGCTTGGGAAAAGCCCTCACACACTTGCCCCACCCTCTAGTGTAACCCGGGACCAGGTAGGGGTCATTCACAGGATGAGGGTCCAACATACATCCAGTTCTGAGAGAAGCAGGTTGGGTTTACTCATCCAGGAACATTTCCTAACACTTGCTGTGGGCTGCATCCAGGATCCAGAGAGGGCCCCTGCCCACCCAGAGCACACAGTCGAGGGAGCTTGTGGCCTAGGACAGAACTTTTGGGGACCACATACTGAGTCCTCCAGGGTGAGGAAGTGAGAGGTGAAAGCCATCTCCCCAGGTATAAAGGTACTTTATTGTCAGACAAACAGAAATGAGCAAGGGGCTTGGTGGAGGAGTGGGGGTGGGGATGGGGGTGCAGGCAGACAAGGGCATTGCACACAGGCGGAGAGGAGAGGTGCAGGGGGCCAGCTGAGGCTATGGGCTTCCGGGAACACACTGGTGGGCAGTGGCTGTGGTCCCAAGTCCTCTCTGCTGCCTCCAGCTTCTGTGCAGGCTCAGCGAGACATCATTCGCACAAACTCTGCCAGGACAAAGCCAAGGTTTCCGGTCTGCTCTCTGGACCCCACTAAGGGTGGAGCCAACAGATTGGCCTTGAGGTGGGAGGGAATTCGGTCAAGGGCAGGGCCTGCAAGGGAGTCCCCTGGATCTGATAGGGAATAGGTCTCTGGGTTAGGAAGAGGGGCTTTGTCTTATGGACAAAAAAGCATCTTGTAACTGAACCTGTTTTCCTCTTTGCTTTGGCCGCTAGGAAGCTCAGGAACAATTTGGTGGCCTACTTCGGAGAATTCCTACATACTGATTTTCCTTGGCTTCCTATGGTTATTTAATTCCTGTGGGAAAGCAATGTAGAGGAAGAACTGGGTTCTGTATCAGGCTCCCTGGACTCAAATCTTGGCTCCATCCACTCCCTTTTGCTGAGCACCCATAGTGCTGTCTAAGTACTGACTTTCTTCTGCTTATGGGGATGATAATAGTTCCTTCTGGGAGAGGACTCAGGCATGCTTAGCAGAGGGCCTGGCACACAGCGGTAATGCTGCCTTTATCATTCTTTATCTGTTAGAAACCTTCCAGGGTGTGTGGTGGCAGGTGGTACCTTCAAAGTCAATCAGGCCATCCCCGTTGAGGTCAATGTCTTGGAGGATCTCATCCACCTCCCGCTGGCTGAGGCGTTCCCCCAGCAGGACCTTGAGGGCTGCCCGGAGCTCACTCAAGCTGATGCAGCCATCCCCGTTGGTGTCAAACTGTGGCAGCGTTGGTTGTGGAGTTGGGTCACCAACCGAATCATTCATTCACTCAGCCCCTCACTCAGAGCAGACACGCAGGCCCCTGCCCGCCCTCCAGCCCCAGTGACCGCACCTCTCGGAAGGCGTCCCGCAGCTCCCTGACACCAATCATGTCTGCCGTCTCTGCCAGCAGCTTGGGGCCCATCAGCTCCACAAAGTCGTCAAAGTCCACCTTCCCACCACCTGGGGGGCCATGCTCATCAGAGACCATCAGAGACCCCTGCCCAGCCCTGGCCCTCCTTTTGCTCTCTGCCCTCCCGTCTGGTTCGTGTCCCTTTCCCCTACTGCACTAAATGTGGTTTTCGCTCCCTTTGGGCCCCATGGGCTGGACCGACCATCTGTGGTTTGTTTGGGTTTTTTTTTTTTTTTTTTTTTTTTAGCTGAGCCATCCTGCTACCTATTGGCAGCTTAGCGGCTGCTCAGCTCGGGCTGGCCTCGAACCG